GTTATTTTATCAAAATACAGTAAAAACTGGAAAATTGTAAAATATTATTATTATTTCAAATAGCTGTTCTCTATTTTAATATATATTTAAAAATATATAGTTTATTCTTGTGATGGAAAATCCCAATTTTCAGCAGTTTTACATGATCCTTCAGAAATCATTCTAATATGCTGATTTGGTGCTCAAAAATGATTTTGTATTTTTTTATTATCAATGCTGAAAACAGTTGTGCTGCTTAATATTTTACTGGAAACAATTATACATTTTTATCAGGATTCTTTGATGAAAAAAAAGGTCAAAAGAACAACATTTATTTAAACATACAATTTTTTTAAATATACAATTTCATAATTGTTTAATATTTTGTTCTCTATATGATCTGGGGCCCTCTTTGGATGTAAGTCTAATAATGTTTATGGGTGTTCTGTTGGACTCAGGTAATTTCATAATGGATTTAATCCGAAAATGAATGTTTATGGCATAAAACGCCATTTTACAACTCCTGGCATGACTGAGATGCAGCTCCACATTGACCATAGGTGTGGTCAAACGACTTCACTTGTATGCATGAATGGCTTGTGCTGGGTCATTACATTTAAGAGCTAATTAACAGCTGAATGATCCTGAAAATATTCCAGAGAGCAGCTGAGCTCCAGCATGAGTTTCTGGACATGCTTCATAACTATATGAAGTCTCCAAAGGCTACAAGCTATGACACACATCTTCTCTACACACATAAACCTCTTCTAAATTCTAAAACTTTCCACCTATACCTACACACTGCACATATACACTACATATAATGTTGGATTGTGAAAATGACCCTGTAACCTCCTGTCCTATAGTATACTAATATAGCTTGTCTATGCTCCAGTATTTAGTGCAACTTTCCCCATTGGCTTCGTATTACTGTATATTATTCAAATCATGTAAGTCTGTCTAGGCATTTCAGCCTATAGTAATGATTCTCATGTCTTATTTAGATCCCATGACACCCTACACACTCATAAACGTAACTTATGGTTGTTATTGATGTAATAAATGTGTACAGCTGAGCTGTTTATTATACCAGTTTCCAATGGTCCGTCTGAGCTGAATGTGTAGAAAAAAGCTAGACATTTCGGCACTAAACTGAGTCCATCTGCATGTCAATTGATTTTAAGTATTAAACTGAATGTTACACAGTGCTGATTAATGCACAAGCACTTTTAAGTTCAGCCAACCTAGTTATTTTGAGACACATATGGCCCCTTGGTTGAACTTAACTATATGTAATATATGGTGGCATCTAAAATATATGGCTTGGACGTTTTAGTTATACCAGTTTCCAATGGTCCGTCTGAGCTGAATGTGTAGAAAAAAGCTAGACATTTCGGCAGTAAACTGAGTCCATCTGCATGTCAATTGATTTTAAGTATTAAACTGAATGTTACACAGTGCTGATTAATGCACAAGCACTTTTAAGTTCAGCCAACCTAGTTATTTTGAGACACATATGGCCCCTTGGTTGAACTTAACTATATGTAATATATGGTGGCATCTAAAATATATGGCTTGGACGTTTTAGTCACACTTAAAAATGTCTGAATGTCCTGTTATTAGTTACAGAAAATCAAAATTGTTTGAAATGTCTTGCCTGGACCGTATACAATTAAAACAAAATAATGGGGGTTTTTTTTTTGGGGGGGGGAATGCAAGCCGCATATAAAATATAATGAAAAATACACCTTTTAACCATTTAGAAGCAGGACAATGGTTTGTTCAGATGTACTCGCTTGCATTTGGGTCCATCTGGACTGTGAAAGTAGTAAAAAGAAAGGGATGAAAGAAACAACGAGAGTGCAAAGAAAGGACGTGGCTGAGGCGATTCTTTGCCTGGCCTGATTTCTCTCTTCGTTCCCACATTCTTGCCATCTCCAGGGGGTGGGGTGGTGTGTGTTAAACTACGCTGGCTTTGATAACATCAGTCTTTCTCATCCTATTAGTCTGCTATCCATTGCACCAGAGGCCTGCGTGTGAGGTAAACATGCTCTTTTTCACAATTAAATTGGTCGTTAAATAGATTCTTCAGCAATAATAAGCCTGAACAAGATGCGCTGCGGCCTTGGTACAGTTGCTACACGAGAGCAGAGAACCATCAACAATGCCTTTTTCCAAGTTATAAACACTTTTTTTCCCCCAAAAAAATAATTAGACCTCCGTAAGAAGTGTTCTATACAAAAGCTAATAATTAACCAAAAAAAATAACCGATATTAAAATTTATACTTTGTAGTCTAAATAAATTTTTAATAAAACACTGAAATCAATCGTGGATCAAAAGTGAATTTTGGGATCACATCTAATTCATTTAGATATTTGCTAAAGATTAAATTTATCAGTGCTATTAAATTGCGAATTAATGGTGTTTTTAAAAATTTACTTTAAGTATATGAGAATATAATACATTTTAGTGATACAGATAAACTATTAAAGTTAAAAATATTGGTATATAATAGATGACACACACACACACACATGCATTTCTTATTTATAAGTTATAATATGAGTTATAATATGGATTGTAATATTGACATATTTCAGACTGTATGAATAAAAGCAAATAGGAACTGCTATAGTTCATGTAAAAGGTGATGAAATCTGCACGATGTTTTAAAAATAAAATCCAATAAAAAGATTTTTGACCTCGTCACACACGTTGAAGTTAAATAACTCTGCCAAGCATTTACTGTCCAGTCTCATAAATGTCCATTGGCTGTAATGTGAAACATCTGTTTCAGACTTGCGTTTTACTTCTCGTCATGTGTTTCATAGGGCTCCAGTATAATAAAGAGCTTGTCATTTTCACTCAAGCTGGACTGAATGAAAGAATAAAAAACAATATTCTATTCTATGCACCAGAGTTGTCATGGTTGGAAAACGACATTTATATTTAATACTGAAACTGATCTGCAGAATTTTACCCCAAATGTCCCTAGCAGAACACTTAGCCATGAAGTTGATACTTACTTGTATATACTTATACCAATACAGTTGTACCAACACAAAGGATACAAAATACAGATTTAATGCGTTGTTTTGGTAAGAATTTTTTTTTAAATTTACAGTAGTTTTTTGCTATTTTCATTTTATATTTTTATTTTAAAATCTGTGTAATTGGAGGCACTAGGGATGCCGATATTACAAATGCTGACTAATACCGATAAGCCAATGATTTTTCATGATATGGCTGATATATGATAAGTTGCCCAAATTAATATTCTGTACTATATTGTTTTAATGAGTAAATACTAAAATCAACCATTTAATGGTAAATTATACAAAATTATACCAAATATGAATATAGAATGAATTTTCGTTGATGAGATTTGCTAAAGATTACATTTAACTGTTATTAATTAGATTATTATTTTTTTGTAAAGATGAACTTTAAGTGAACACTAGATGACTGCAAAAGTAATTCAAATATAAAAAATAGGGTTATAAATATGCACAATTCAACATTCAATATGGACCAATAGTGATCAAAAAGTCTCTAATATCGGCAGATAACCGATACGGTACTGATATAGTGTACATCCCTTGGTGGCACCAACACAGAAGCCATTCAGATGTTAGTTTGCCAGCAAGTGAGGTTGTGCAAATTTGAACCACAACCATCAAGGCACTTGAACTCAGTTGAGAGTCCATTATCACACTCATTTACCAGGGTTGCACACTTGGGTGATGTTCCCTCTCGCACAATTCAGAGCTGTTACAGTTTCAGGGGCCTGCCCTTGGCCTCGTTTTGCTTTTATGGCTCACTGAATGCAAGCACTGGGGATTAGCCAGGTCCTTCAAAGGCCATTAGAGCCAGTGACAGGTATCCCATTACCCCCCGCACACAGAGAGACGGCCTAGGTGAGAGGCACAGAGGCCAGGAAGGAGAGAAGCAGGGGTCAGATGAGGACAATGAAAGACTTAGCCAGGGCCCCAAGTCTCTTTCTGTCAATTCGTCTGCCTTGTCTAAATTTACAGATGGCTCTTTCTATCAATGACTGGTTCTCCTGATGCGTAGAAGGGTTTCATGTTTGGAAATGTTTGAAGATTTTGACTGAAAGACACATAAAACTGTTAAAATACTGAGCTCATTGGTGCATGTTAATCTTGGATTTGTAGTCAAATTGCATGGCTTTATTTTACTCATGTTTAACATTTTACAGTTACATTTGCAGTTGCACATTTTAAGTCTGTAAACATAGATTCATTAACGGATCAGAGATGAACTAGCTAATTGTTTTTGTGTGTATGGAATAAATGTGTTTAAAACAATGCTATCAAGATTTAGAAATGAGACCTTGCTTTCGGCACTGCGATAAGAGATTCTCACAAGGCAGAGGAAGCCTTTCATTAGTCAATTACTGTCCCAGATAAGGAGCCCACTTGCAGAGTCAATGTATCCAGGGTCAGAGGCCAAATTACATCATCAACCCCTAAAACAAGAATGTCCTAGAATGTCCAATGTATTCCCTGTATGACCCACAAAGGGTAAACCAAGACACTTCAAGTCCGGCAGGTTATTTAATCTGCTCACCACAAAATTAGTTGTGAAGTTGTTGCTTACGCCAATAAAGTTGTAACAAAAGAGGTACATAGAGGATCCAAAATACAGATAATGTATGGGTTTCATGTTTGGAAATGTTTGAAGATTTTGACTGAAAGACACATAAAACTGTTAAAATACTGAGCTCATTGGTGCATGTTAATCTTGGATTTGTAGTCAAATTGCATGGCTTTATTTTACTCATGTTTAACATTTTACAGTTACATTTGCAGTTGCACATTTTAAGTCTGTAAACATAGATTCATTAACGGATCAGAGATGAACTAGCTAATTGTTTTTGTGTGTATGGAATAAATGTGTTTAAAACAATGCTATCAAGATTTAGAAATGAGACCTTGCTTTCGGCACTGCGATAAGAGATTCTCACAAGGCAGAGGAAGCCTTTCATTAGTCAATTACTGTCCCAGATAAGGAGCCCACTTGCAGAGTCAATGTATCCAGGGTCAGAGGCCAAATTACATCATCAACCCCTAAAACAAGAATGTCCTAGAATGTCCAATGTATTCCCTGTATGACCCACAAAGGGTAAACCAAGACACTTCAAGTCCGGCAGGTTATTTAATCTGCTCACCACAAAATTAGTTGTGAAGTTGTTGCTTACACCAATAAAGTTGTAACAAAAGAGGTACATAGAGGATCCAAAATACAGATAATGCACTTGGGAGGTTTTTTTTTTTTTCTAAGGTGTTTTTTGTAAGAAGAAAATATGTGAATGTACAGTAGCTGTTGCTAACTTCATTTTATTTTAAAATATGTATATTGGAGGCACTATACTGCATGTACCAATATTACAAACTCTGACTAACACAGATAAGCCAATAATTAGACGGCCAATAATCAAATTTTTTATTTTATTTTTTAACTAAAAAACTGGGTTACCCCAGTACACAAAGCGCTGTGCAACTTTCCGTGTCTGAGACCTGCATGCCACAGAAAAGGAACAATTTTAGATATTTTCAAACAACGATTCAGATTTTTGAGCACATCTTATTGGTTGATCAATTTCCTTCACAATGCTATGGAATACATTATGGGCCAGTTTTACTAAACAGGGCAAATTAGCGCGAGAGCGCAATTCCAAAACAGTGCCGATGGGTGTGGACATTCCTGCGGGTGATTTACTAACAACACCCAACATAAAGAACACAGACGCAACATCTCATTTACATATCGACCAACACAATATACCAAGTGCAGTGCAAATTAGCATAGTTGCAAATAAAATATAAAAAAATAAAGAAGCCATAGTACATTGAAAAAACCGGAGGCCAAAAAATGAAGGTTTGCATGAAGTTTTGATAGACCTGGTATTGCATGACTCCTAGTTGAGAGTTCCAAGTCATCTTTTATTTCCTGAAGCAAATTAAAAATAACATGGCTTGGCAAACTATATGTACGGATAATGTGTTCTTCTGGCATTCCAAATAAATTAATATGTGAGGAAAAAATCCTCTCCCTTCTATCACGCGCTCTCTGTTCTCTGAGGTGCCTCCTCCTAGCAACAATAATTGCAGCCATTTCAAGTGCAAAATAGTTTAAGACATGCTTTTTTTGGCCGTTAAATAATGGCGCAAATACCAGTCATCTGACGAGTGCAAACTTTAGTAAATCTCATTGTGTGATTAATTTAAATACTCACCTCCCATAAATGTTGCGTCTGAAAGGGAAACTCCAACAAATGCATATTCAGTAAAGTCAGGCACAAAAAATAACTGTGTCCATGCCTCTAATTCATTACTGTGCGTCTTTAGTAAAACCTGACAGTACTCGCTGGCGCAAGCTGTTAGTAAAACTGGCCCTATAACTTGCAAATGTTTGTGTTGGTCTGAGCAGATTTATTAACATAAGTTCAAATTAAAATGTTTATCGCATCAGATTTTTGCACAGAACATTCATCTTAGTGTGAACAGGCCTTTAGAATTGTTTTTTAGAGTGCATTTTGTCTTTCTGCACTGGCAGATTTCACTTGTTTTTAGCTGGTTTACACTTAAAACAAGTAGAAAAAAATTTGCCAGTGCAATAAGATAAAATTGACTCATATTATTATGAGTATATCTTAATAATATTATGCAGGTTTCCTTCTCTTTATCTTGTTTCACTGTAAGGTTGTTGTAACTATGCTGGTGGTCGCAAACTAGTGGCCAGACCTTCAACAAGACCGATTTCTATTGCTCCTAAAGGCTGAATAGTACATATCTGGCTTCTTTCGCATGTGAAACTGAACCCTCAGGATGGTTCCCTTGCTAGCATTTTTCCTCATTGGAAAAACTAGCAGACAATCACCCACCCACTAAGAGTTTTAGCATGCCGGAGGGCAAGCGGTTCCTCTGTCGTGAGGACTGTGAAGGCGCAAGAGGTTAATGAAGACATGGTCTGGTGTGTCTGGTCTTATGAGGTACTAAAAGGCGCGAGGTGGCACGGAAAGCAGACCGCCATAAATGGGCTTTTCTTAAATCAAGGAGAGGGTGTGCAGCAATGCCTCCAAATCACGCATCACTTCCTTTGCCAGCAAGCGGGTAGCCATCAATGGCCCGTACGGATAGTTACAAGCAGATTCAAGGGCTATTTTGTGACTCAAGGCTTCTGTTGTTTTCTGCACCCAGCGCTATCAAAAGGCTCAGGATTAAGGCTGAGGTCATTGTTGAAATGTGGTTAATTGCACCAAGTTGCATGAGAGGAGAACCGTCCGCCTGCCAAAATGCAGATGCAGTCGTCCTGACTAAAAACAGACTTGGGGACGAGAGCATACTACCTCATCGTTGAAAATATAAGCAAGGTTAATTCAAACAAAAGCTGTGGCTGAACTTCTCCATAAACTGTGTGAGTCCACAGGGCTTAATACTTGCTGTCACACAGAACAATTACCATAATCTAGCACACAAATCAATTACATCACCCGTTTTACTCTCATTAGACAAAGTACTTAACCTAAAAATAGCAATGGAATTACAAAGGTTGTGTTGCGGTGACAACAGAAGAGAAGGTAGTACTTGAAACATGGCCATCCAAGCATAGAAAAAGGGCCAGATTTGCACCAATGCAAATCCTCTTTTGTCATTAAAAAACTACTGTCAGGATTTACTAAAGACATGCAGTGAAACATAAGTGATGAGATTAGATAGTTTTGCGGCTGACCTTACTGTATATGCATTTGTAGGAGTTTCCCTTTCAGATGCGAAATTTATGGGAGGAGAGTATTTAAATTAAATGGTTTGTGGTAGTCAGTATACTGATATTTGTGGCATTATTTAACACCCCAAAAGCATGTCTTTACCCATTTTGCACTTGTGCTTTGTCATCTGCTTATTTGTGACCCTACACTATTTTGCGCTGCTCCTTGGTTGCTTGCATTGTTCATTATGGAAACGTGCTGTCTGCCTATGTGTTCTTTAATGTGCGCGTTGTCAGTAGATCACCCTCAAAACTTTCCACTCCCATCTGTGCTTTTATGGGATTGTGGTCTCACACTAATTTGCCCTGTTTAGTTAATCTGGCCCAAGGAGTTCCACTTGGTCAATCAGGAGCAGGATGTTTTCCATGGCTGGAGCTCGCGCTGTGTTTCAAGGCACTGAAATGAGACGGACTGAACTGGAAGCTGACAGACAGCACAAAGGGGCCATCAGCTTCTTGTCAGATCTGTCAAATCACTCAGCTAGTGAGAGAGGCCTTGACCTTAACACTATCCTCCATGGGGGATTTTTGGCCCATGTCCACTCAACCTTGGTCTGGAAGTTTCTGATCGGAGCTGACCTGAAACTGTGCAAATGAATTCAGCAACATAGAGTGTTAAGACATCTCCCCATGTTTTAGAGTGCTGCAGACTTTTAACAGTTGATGTTAAAGGGATAGTTCACCCAAACATTAACATTTGATGTTTATCTGCTTACCTCCAGGGCATCCAAGATGTAGGTGACTTTGTTTCTTCAGTAGAACACAAATGATGATTTTTAACTCCAACTGTTGCAGTCTATCAGTCGTATAATGCATGGCAATGGTAACAAAATCTATGAGAGTAAAAAAAACATGCACAGACAAATCAAATTAATCCCTGCGACTCGTGACGACACATTGATGTCCTAAGACACGAAACGATCGGTTTGTGCGAGAAACCGAACAGTATTTATATAATTTTTTACCTCTAATACACCACTATGTCCAACTACCTTGAGCGCGTGCACGGTATCTGGTGCGTGAGGTGTGTACGCGCTCTGGCGTAGTTTACGCAAGCGCCGGAAGTGATCTCTCGCGCGTATACGTCACTCATTGTTTTCACAGTGCACAAACATTGTAGGTACGACGGCTAATCAAAATGGTACTTACTTGCGCTTATCTGGATTGTTCAAACCGACTTAAAACTAAAAGATTACGTTCTCTCGCGCGAACTCTTTCGGGAGTGGTGACTTTCCACGTATTCCCAACTTCTGAGCCTCCTTGCCTGAAGTTATGGTTGATTGCTCTTCAGCTGGATATCAACACACCCATTAACGTAAACTACACCAGAGCGTGTACACACCTCACGCACTGGATGCCGTGCGCGCGCTCAAGGCAGTTGGACATAGTGGTGTATTAGAGTTAAAAAATTATATAAATACTGTTCGGTTTCTCGCACAAACCGATCGTTTAGTGTCTTACGACATCAATGTGTCGTCACGAGCCGCAGGGTTTAATTTGGATTTGTCTGTGCATGTTTTTTTTACTCTCATAGATTTTGTTACCATTGCCATGAATTATACGACTGATAGACTGCAACAGTTGAAGTTAAAAATCATAATTTGTGTTCAACTGAAGAAACAAAGTAACTACATCTTGGATGCCCTGGGGGTAAGCAGATAAACATCAAATTGTCCTTCTTGGGTGAACTATCCTTTTAAGTTCTATATATGACATTATTTTCAAATAAAAGCAAACCACAAAATGAGAATATAAAATGTAAATGTATTGTTTAAAATTCTGACAAAAAGTTTTTCTGGTTTCAAACTTTGTGGAATATGTTTAATATTAATTCTATTACCTACATTGGTATTTTTGTGCTAGGACACCTGTGTGAACTTGAGAGGACGTAACTTTACACATCCGTGGTTAAGATTTAAAAAAGCTCAGAAAATATAAGTTATTGCTAAGAAAAGCTATAGCATCATTTGTTTGCATATGCCACTTTATTTGATATTTTATATCTACACCCTAAAAATATTTTTCGAAAGTACATTTTTGGAGTATGTATTACAAGAAATTACAATTTCAGTCTTTCTACTTTCTTTGAAATTGACTACACTTTTTTCAGCAGTGATCGGAATTATAAAAATACTGATTCAGTAACTGGTACGATCAACTCTTTAGTGAAGTCAGTCATTCATTCATGAATCGGACTACACTGGTTGCCCTGTATTTAGTTGGTTGCAATAACATTTAGGTCAAACAGAAATCAGTAAAGCATTATTGTGCAGAACCTATTCATAAGATGAGGTCTGGCTATGATTAGACATGCATGAAGAATAAATAGATAAACATACAGTGTGCTCTGCTAGTGTAAACCTGCAGATGAAGGATCAAAAAATTGACAGACAACATACATCCTGAAAATGTTGTTTCAGCTAATTGGCCACATGGGAAACTAAACAGATCTTGAAGAGTGTGTGGGAAAAGTTGCAGTTCTTTTAAATTTAAGTATTTGTAAATCACAACTGGGGTTATGGGGCAATGCAAAAAGAAAAATGAGTCAGGAAATTGACATAATGTATCAATCCTGATAGCTTCTTAGTGATTATGCATAGTGGCATAGTGGTTACAGATGTAGTCTACTTGCCAAAGGTTGGTGGATGTTACAGTTACAGTGAACCAGCAATGAAGGAGCCAACTGTGATGTGTAGTAAATCTTTATTATCACTTCAATTGCTCCTGAAAAATGATTTAAATTTTAATTGCCAAATCAAATCATAGAGGCTATATAACTTGTCAGGATTAACAATCAACAACTACCTAGTGAACAAACACACACATGCATCCAGTTGGGGCAATTCCTATGTGTGCTTATGACTCATTGTGCTGAATGGACTCAATGCCAATGTCCTTATATGTCAGTTTAGGACAGCACATTTCAGCACATCATAATTACTTTATGTCTTTGGTTTGGGTGGTGAGATAAAGCTGTTTGCCCATTCAGCACATATAGTTGGCCTTCACAGAGGCCCATCTTTTGTTGTTGTCCTATGTCTGATTTCGTGCAAACAAGCTGACTTATGATAAGGTATGGAAAGAGTTTCTGAATCATCTGGTTCTGATTGAAAGCTGGGCAGAGATGGTCTGTAAGATTTTCATAAAGTTTTCGAAAGAAGTCTCATGCTCAACAAGGCTGCATTTATTTGATCAAAAATATACTAAAACATGGTAATATTGTGAAATATTTAAATTTGAAATAACTGTTTTCAATTTGAATATACTGTTTAAAATGTGAATTTATTTCTGTTATGACAAAGCTTCAGAAATCATTCTAATATGCTGATTTGGAGCTCAAGAAACATTTCTTATTATTATCAATGTGGAAAACTGTGCTGCTTAATATTTTTTGTGTTAACTGTGATACTGTTTTCTGAAATATTTGATAAATAGAAAGTTTATTATAAATATAAATATTTTGTAGCATTATAAATGTCTTTATTTTTTAATCAATTTAATGCATCCTTGCTGAAATGTTTTTTCACAATTCCTTTAAAAATATTTTTACTAATCTCACATTTTTGAACAGTAGTGTTACACTCAGAGTAAACTGTGCTACTATGGAGACATGGCTGTTTGCTTTACACCGTTTTATATTGTTGTTTGTTGTCATGTTGTTTTAAATACGTAAATCGTTTTATAACTATGATTATGCCAGTTGCAAATTGTGCAACACCCTTCCAAACATAAGACAATGCAAACCTGTTCAGTTTCATATTTAAATTCAATTTTACATTTTTATTATTTTTATAAACCAAAAATCTGTTTTCACATTACTACCTGCAAAGCACAATAATAAATTAACTGAAGTATCTATGTTAGAAAGTATTTTAGATTATGTGATAAAAGCCTTTCAGCGGGAGCCATAGGAATCCTATGGCCCTGTTTTTGTGACTCAGCCTTGTTTTATTGCTGTTTTTTTACAAGTCAGCTGCATAAGAGCGTAAAGGCGTGCACTGGGTGTGTCACATTCTTATCGTAATATATTTTATAAGGAGTTTCCTTAGATTTTAGGCCTGATTATAAACTTGAGCTTGTAACACCTAAGGGACTATCCTGTTCACTTTAAATTATTGATGTATCATTATAAATAGACAAATGATAAAGAGTATCAATTTAGGTCAAGAAGAAAGCCCAGTGGGAGACGTACAGCAGAAGCCAGCATTCCTGTGTATCATTTCAGACTAAGAGAAATCGGTTTAATAAGCCTGCATTTTGACTTCTGATATTCATCCCAAAATGGCAGTTTTAGATATTAATGTTACCGTAATATAACGTAACAGGCGAAGAATGTGTAAATCTCAAATTGTGATTAATGCATCCAGGGGAATCCCACAGTAGAATCTATGAGGGGCCGTACAAGCCATAATTCATTCTGGCACTCTCACACACTTACATTCTCCTTACACATACATATATTCTTGCTTTCACACACTTACATTCTCCTTACACATGCATACATTTCTACTCTCACACAC